AATTTGAATTTAAAGTATGAAGATTTATCCGTTGGAGAGATGTGCATTAAAGTTTCGGTTGCACGGTCTTATACTCGAAGATATTGGCACGGAAAACACTCTTCAAAGTGCATATTTGCGATCGAAAGGACAAGGATTCGAATTCGCACTGACTTTCCCGCGCGTGGTCCTTCTGAGCTAGATGAATCATATTACTGTCCGAGAAAGAGTCAAGAGACCTCCGATGATCCTCCAATGCCGAGGAGCGTTTAGAAAACTGCGATACTCCTAGGTTATTGTTCTGACTATAGGTTTCACTAGAAAGATGCAAAAAATAACTTTCCTCATTATGAAACTGGTATCAGAACTTCATTTTTTCACAATTCAGGTACTGTCAATGGTCGCCAACTTGAGACATGAGATGCATAGCAAAATTAGGATGAATTTAACAAAGTTAACTATTTCTCAGTATGTCATATATACTATATTTGGTATATAATGTTTCTGTAACTATTTTGTTGCATTTGCCGCATTTTACTGTTGCACTAGGATTTGAGTTGAATAAGGTAAGGTGAACATCACTTTTGCAGAGAAATTAGTAATCCAAGTTGCCTTTAAATGAGTTTGAGCGCTTTTGTAAGAATAAAAATGAATTAACTTCCGATGAAGTATCCTCCGATAATCTTCAAGCAGTTATAAAACACTGACTAAGGGAGGGCAGTTTACTTAGCGAATAACGAAATCTGGAATATAGACAGTAAAATATGAAAATAAAATACGAAAGAACAAAAATATAAAAAGTAACCTTAATCCGGTGTCATGGCGGTAACTGTTAGCCGGCCTCCTTCCGTTCTAGTGTTAACACATCAAAATTTGCACGTTAGTTATCTCCGCCAGCTGGCCGGCCGTGCAACAAAATTTTCGCAGATCAGACACAGTGTCGTTGATGTTGATTCGTTGTTACACCGTCGACTGAATCGGCTCTTTCATGTCTTCCTCGAATTCATTCAGGTACGCAGGCGTAAAGCTTGTTTCTGGGCAAGGTTGTGAGATAGCACTTTTTGGGGTTCGGTTGTGTTCATAAAAAGCCGATGTCCGGTGGAGCAGTTTCGACGCTGCCCTAGAAGTAAAATTTTATGTTATCACTGACAAATCAAAATAAACTAATATAATCCATCCCATACGGCTCTTTACTGTATATAAAAGTGACAAACGATACAGATTACGTTTACCTGTCAATGTCGTCTGCAGGATCTAAAGGTGATGATCCGATAACGCTAGCTCTTTCAGCGTCCGCATCTTTCATCATCTCGCTACGGCACAACCGCAACGCCTCTTCTGCAGCGATCTGAGCCGCCTTTCTATTCGTTATGTGAATGTTTTGTCCAAAGTGGATGCCTAAAAGCTTCCTCGTGATTTTGTCGTCCATACCACGTAATTTTTGTTTACCTTTCAGTCGCTTATGTTTGTCGAGTGTGAAATTTAGGAACCTGGTTTTGAAGGCGGCATGCAACTTTTTAGGCTTTTTCGTTTGTCTCAGAGTCTTCTCCAGCTTCAGTACGATGTTGTGACCTTTATTTTTGTATTTATGGCCGAAGTCCATGTCCGTATGCTCATAATCATGTAGCTTCTGCAGGACCTTTGCTTAAATATAAAAAAATTAACAGTAAACAAACCACGCCTTTATCATTCAAACTATGCAAAGAGCAGAACAAAAATTCTAATGATCAGTCTAAAAATGGATGATTGTACTTCATCGTACTGCTAACCTCTTGACGATGAAGGAGGGAAAATAAAATTGGTAAATTTTGATAGATTTTGATGTTCTAGTGCCATTATTCGTTCTGTTATGGAACGTCTGGTATGACGCTGATTTCGTTACGATGCAGCCAGCCGGGAATCCATTACATATGAAGGTATTACGCATTATATATAACTAAGTCGCCACTAGCTTGTTGCCTTCCGCTTCTTTCCCAACAAGTGGTGTTTTCCACGGTGTGGCTGCGACATTCGTTTTTTGGACGACAAGTTACGTTTCGGTACCTGAATTCTGGATACTTCTCAAGGCGGTTCAGACGAAACGTACCTCGACTACACTGAGGTGATTTTCACCTCCACCAGGTATGGCAGATTACTTCTTATCTGCTATGTTAGATAATAGGTGTGATTAGTGTGGTTATTAATTTTCGGCTACTGAGAGTTTAACCTTGAGTGGCTGCTTCTTCAAGATGTTATTGGCTGCGGTAATAAACCATGTTCTGTAACCACGATAATAGCAGGATTTAATATTACTGTTTCGTGTATTACCTATTTCGACTGCATTTTCTTGAAGCACAGCGCTTGTGTGTAGCCGGCTGGTACGCCCTTTTTCGAAGCAGGTCAGCACAGTGCTGGCAAGTACGTGTTGTATAGTCTGCCAACGATGCAGCAACATTCCGGACGTCTGGACGATGAGAATCAACGACAAGAAGAGAATGATCGTGAAACCGATCGGCTCCACCTTCAACGGTTCCTGCACCTGTTCGTATTTGCGTGTGTCACTGTCCCACTTGATGATCGTGTAGTTAGCTAAACTGAAATCACCCTGTACGACATCGCATTTCCATCGCAGATGTACCTGTCACACTCCACTTGATCGACAACAGTTCTTTGTTCAACTGTAACAGGTAGATGATCAGAATCAGGAGACCGTTGACTAGCAGCAGTCCAAGAGCGATGTTGTTCCGCAGGCTTCGCAAACCGGCCAGAATGTTCTTCTCTTCTTCGCTGCTTCTTTTGATTGGCTAAATGATGAGGATACTTTCTAGCTCTGTCAGTCGCCTATAGTTTTAAATGTATACTACCTTTAAATAGTTTTCTAAGAAGTCGATCCAAAACTGACTTTCAGTGTCTTCTAGCTCTTCGCACTGACCACCTGCAAAAGGGGGCATGTCCATCCACTTCTGACGATGAATACCTAGAAAAACGCTTTTTTCTCAAAATTGTCAAACAGTCTCTTTTAAAGCTATTATTCCTTGGCACTGACATTTTTGAATGTCTCGTGTATTGATCATTTAAAAATTATGTTCAGTTATTATCCTAAGCATATTTATTCATCGAGCATAACGAACCGATATTCTGACTGAACAAGTGCAAATATAATTCTCATTCAGAAGGATGACACGACATGATGTATAAATTTGGGCAACGTTATTCACCAGACTTTCCCGAATTTCATTCCTGAAGCGGCACACTGCTGCCCTCTTTCCCTCTTCGTTATTTACCCATCCAGCATTGTCAGAAATTTGTTTTAATCTAATCCATGAACGGTTCAGAGTGCAGACATCGTCATTAGAGATTATTACATAGTAGTCCCATGCGTCGTTTCGAGTTTGTACTCAGTCAGTTCTCCAATATTTACCCCTTCGTTGTTTGTAGGCAACCGAATGTGCATGTGCAAGTCAGCGGTAAGGAGTTTCGTCTAGTGACTTGAACGCCGGATAGGACTCTTGGTCAGAGGCACGCAAGATAAAATTACGCAGCGAAAAATGAGGAAGATAAATGGGCATTACTTAAGCCACATATAGTTTAACGATGATATCCTAATCCTTTGAAAGTCTCAAAAATAATTAAAAAAATATACCAAGAGCTGGACTAAAAACCAACCTTAAAAAGACTCAAATTATGCTTTAAAATGTGACCGAATGACCTTTAATTCAGGGGGCTTCTGTTTGAAGAGGTGCAAAACTACGTCCATTTGAGGTAGCTCGTCTCTGCAACTGAGAACTGAATATGGGAAACAAACAGACGAATACAAGTAGCATGGAACATTTTTGGAAGACTGAAAATTATTCTATCCGGAAAACTGCCTTTGTGCTTGTAATGGAAAGTTTTAGATGAATGTGTGCAGTCTGTGCTAACCTATGGAGGAGAAAATGGACCGTAAGCTTGAAAGCTATTCATCAACTGC